TGCACGCACGCACACGCATGCACACACGCACGCACACACACACACTCATACACACACACTCATACACACACACACACGTACACACACGTACACACACGTACACACAAGCAGGATAGAAAATGATATCATTATTGTTTGTTGGTATTGTATAGAGAGGGCACACAGCAATACCACTCAATGACCACTGAGTGCAAACCATTTTCAAACAAATATACCATTGCATAACCCTTGACAAGTCCCATGGCCCATTCCCCTGTGCCCACAATGACTGCCCACAATGGATTTCTAACCAGGACCGCCGGTAGCAGGTTGTGATTGGCGCGGGCCTTACCATAGTCCTTCAAACAGTTTGTGCATGATCATAGTGGTAATACAAATAAACCTCTTCACCAGGAAACATGCGTATAATAGTTGCTAAAAGGTTGATCCGGTGATGGCCTGAGCAACCACACCGGTGGTTCCGGCGGGCCTGTTAATACAAGCATAGCTAGAGTATGCTGTCCACAGTGGGTGTTAAAGGGGGAGTTGATTGTAGTCTTCGGGGTGCTGAATCGAATGGCCTTGGTCCGAGGAAGCTAAGGCTGCGTTTACACGACAACGCACGGCCAGTTTTCCATTTTCAGTCCCGAATTTCTTTTTTCATTTTCGTACGTTTACACGATCAAAGCTGATCCGAGGTGGTCTCGGTTTGTATCGTTTTCGCGTCTACACGGGAGCAAAGGATCCGCCAAAGCTCGTCATGTGCCAAGTGTTGTCGTGGAAGCACCAATCACACTCAATGAATAGTTGAAAACAGGCCACACGACAACACTCGTCACATGACGAAAATTGTAAAAACAATTTGTTTGATTGTCGGATCCGTGTGAACGGCCGAAAACGGAACAAACGTGACGGAAAACGAGGCCAGCAGACCGTTTCGACTGTTTACACACTCAAATTTATCCGGCAGAACATTTCCGTTTTCAAATTCTTCCACCTTGGCCAGTGTTTTCGTTTCCTTCCGGTTTGGTGTACAACTTTTACGTTTTGCTCCGCGTACCGTGTAAATGAACCATGCATCCGAAAGGATTTTGTTGCGTTTTCACCCCCAGCGTTGTCGTGTAAACGCAGCCTAAGACGCTCCCTTCCTCTTTCCCAATCGAATTCGCCACTTCCACCGAAACTGGGTGACTGCGCCCTACAAGACCAGGATTTGTATGCAAAATGTCACTAAAAGCGCCATTTCGTTCTTATAAAAGCACGGATGATGGCGATTGGCCCGTATGTTGTAGTCTTTTGGACGCGGAGTCGACTGGTTTTGGTCCGAGAAGGCTACGATGCAGCGTTCGGCCCTTATGCGTTCTTCAACTCAAAGGTTCAAAGGTTCAACCCGAGTGACAGGAACACGCCCAAACAGGCTGTAAGTTGTACCCTGCAGGCACGGTGACTAGGTGACTGGTGTACGCATGAGCACGTGACCGCTTATTCAACCATGTTCGATTGGGAATAAGGGCCGAATGCTGCATCGCATGCGCGCAGCCTTCTAACGCCGAAACCGTTCAGCGTCCAAAGACCACAACATAAGGGCCAATTGCATTCAACCGTGCTTTTATAAGAATGAAATGGCGCTTTTAGTGACATTTTGCATACAAATCCCCATCTAGTAGGGCGCAGTCACTCAGTTTCGGTGGAAGTGGCGAGTTCGATTGGGAATAATAAAAAAGAGGAAGGGAGCATCTCAGCTTCCTTGGACCAAGACCATTCGATTCAGCACCCCGAAGACTACAACTGGTGAAATCTGCGTTTAGGCTTAACTTCCCCTTCAATTAATACATGTACAAGGCTACAAGCATAGCTAGAGCATGCTGTGCACAGTACACAGTACACAGTACCTTCTCTTGGGAATTCCGGCTGGTAAGTGAAGTCCGTGAGTCTGAGGTGCGTACATCAGACAAACGGAAGGTCACAGCAGAGTTCTCGTCAATCGAGTCGCTACGACTATGAGCATGTGGCACATTGGGAAGGAGAAAACAAACCAAGCGTACCCAATGTTATACTAGTTCATCATTGCTATCATTGGATACAAGAGGACAGCAGGAGACTAGAGGATGGCCTGTTGTCCATGTCCAGTGAGGATGGGAACCGGTGCAAGGCTTCCTCTCCAGGGTCAGCAGCACAACAATAGTGTTGACAACATGCATTATTGCGGTGAGTATGTAGTATAATCATGGGGTGGTGGCGTCCCACGGAACCAGACAGGTGGTTCTTGACCAGGGAGTTGTACGACACCTTGTTCTTGACCTGCCCGGTACGCGAACCCGTCGAATTATTATTATTATTATGTAGTATCTACAGCAATGCTGTTCATAGCATGCATATTGCTGTGAGCATGTAGTATATAGAGCAATATTGATCACAACATGCATATCACTGTTAGGATGTAGACACCGAGACTGCGCATGTAATTCCCATCATGAGCACTGTAGACGGTAGTACAGTAGTCCTGGGCTACTGTTGAGAG